CAGCCAACTGTAAATCATGGTGGTTTCAGCGTGATGGTTTGGGGAGCTGTTTGGGTTGGTGGGAGATCAAGCTTAGTGGAGTGCGTTGGCAACATTAATTTTGCGAAATACGTCGAAATATTGGAGGAAGGACTCTTGCCACTTTATTCCTCGAGTTTCGTGGACAAGAACACAACGTTGTTCCAGGAAGATGGAGCACCGTGTCACACTGCTAGAAACACCCAAAAGTGGCAGGAAGAAAATCGTATCCAGAAGTTGCCCTGGCCGAGCCAATCTCCTGACATGAACCCCATCGAAAACCTCTGGGCCATACTCGACCGGCAAATCAAGAAACAACCAGAAAAACCAACTTCGAAGAGCGATCTACTCCAAGTTTTGAAGCAAGAGTGGGCGAAAATCCCACAATCTAAAATTGACGAGATGATTCTCACGATGCCCCAAAGGATCAACGAATCCACGAAGCGAAAGGAAGATCTACTAGATATTAATTAATTTATAAATATATCAATTCATGTGAATATCACTGTGTATAGGTTATATATTAACCTTTGAAGTTACACATGGGTTTATAAGGTAATGACAAACTTTTATATTATGACCTATGATGTTACACATGGGTTTATAAGATAATGGCAGACTTTTATATATTAACCGATGATGTTACACATGGGTTTATAAGGTAATGGCAAACTTTTATATATCAACCTATGATGTTCACATACTCTAGCCTATGATGTTTACATATTATAACCCATGATGTTCACATACTCTAGCCTGTGATGTTTACATATTATAACCCATGATGTTCACATACTCTAGCCTGTGATGTTTACATATTATAACCCATGATGTTCACATACTCTAGCCTATGATGTTTACATATTATAACCCATGATGTTCACTTACTCTAGCCTGTGATGTTTACATATTATAACCTATGATGTTTATATATTATAACCTATGATATTCACATACTCTAGCCTGTGATGTTTACATATTATAACCTATGATGTTTATATATTATAACCTATGATATTCACATACTCTAGCCTATGATGTTTACATATTATAACCTATGATGTTTATATATTATAACCTATGATATTCAC